GGTGGTGTGCGCTGTCAGTCAATCATCTGATCGGTCCCGCGTGGCCCTGCCGTTCAGCACATGTGGTCTCAGCTCCACAATACGAATGCAGTCAATATTCATGGAGGGGGCTTCTCACAGCAGAGGGGGAGGAGGTCTGAGCTCCACAACAATAATGCAGTCAACAGTCATGGAGTTGTGTCACAGCAGAGGGGGCGGAATCAAACCACCTTGGTCTGAGCTCCACAATTCGAATGCAGTCAATATTTATGGGAGGGAGCTTGTCACAGAAGAGGGGGCAGAAGCAAATTAGCTCAGCCTGAGCTCCACAATAGGGATGTAGTCAATAGTAATTCAGGAGGCGCAGACTTTCATCATTTAAAAAAAAAAAAAAAAAAAAAAAAAAAAAAACACAAATTGGGCTTCTGATAGGGGAGGAGCTGCTTCTCATTAATGGAGGAGAAAAACTGAGGATTTAGTACAAAGTCAATATTTCAACCTCCAGGTATCTCAATATGATTCTATGGGACAAGAATTTAATGTTTACACGACTCACACAAATTGTGCTTCTGACAGGGGATGCAATAGCCGTGCAGGAGGAGTAGACTTTCGTCATCAACAGGAAAGTCCATAAATTGGGCGTCTGACAGGGAAGGAGATGCCGGGCGTTAATGGAAAATTACAACAAAAGATTTACTACATGGTCTTGCCTCCAGGTATCTCATTATGAATCTATGGGCCCAGAATTTAATGTTTACACAGACTCCAACAAATTGTGCTTCTGACATGGGATGCAATAATCGTGCAGGAGGAGTAGACTTTCATCATCGACAGGAAGGTCCATAAATCGGGCTTCTGACAGGGGAGCAGCTGCCGGGTGTTAATGGAAGATTACAACAAAGGATTTAATACATGGTCTTTCAGCATTTCTCTTTATGAACCTATGGGCACAGACTAACTTTTACACAAATCCCACAAATTGGGCCTCTGACAGGGAAGGTGATGCCATGCAGTAATGGAAAAGAAAAAACAAAGGATTTACCTACACTATCTTTCAGCATTTCAACCTCCAGGTATCTCATTGTGAATCTACGGGCCCAGAATTTAATGTTTACACATATTCCCACAAATTGTGCTTCTGACATGGGAAGCAATAGTCGTGCAGGAAGGGTAGACTTTCATCATCGCCGACTCTACTCACTTTTAGGCGATTTCTGAAAACCTCTCTTCAGGGAAGCCTATCCTGCCTTCAGCTAATGGAATCTTCTATTCCTCCTACCAGTTCATCCCCCACAGTTATTTTTTTTACCACTAGCCCCTCCCTCTTAGATCCAAAGAGCAGGGCCCTTCTAACCGTCTTGTATTGAACTGTATTGTCTCCCGTTATATTGTAAAGAGCTGCGCAAACTGTTGGCGTTATATAAATCCTGTATAATAATAATCAACAGGAAAGTCCATAAATCGGGCTTCTGACAGGGGAGGAGAAGCCGGACGTTAAGGGAAAATTACAACAAAGAATTTACTACATGGTCTTTCAGCATTTCAACCTCCTGCTATGTCACGAATCTATGGGCCCAGACTAAAAACGACACAAATACCGCAAATTGGGCTTCTGACAAGGAAGGTGTTACCACGCAGTAATGGAAAAGAAAAACAAAGGATTTACTACACAATCTTTCAGTATTTCAACCCTCAGGCACCTCAATATGAATCTATGGGCCCAGAATGTTACTTTTCATTGCTCTCGAGACGACTAGTATTAAAAAGATGCCGCACACTGGGAAGTGCCTATAGGAAACAAAGCATCTTCGAAATTGGGCTTCAACGTTTACACAGACTCCCACAAATTGAACTTCGGACAGGGAAGGTGTTGCCATGCAGTAATGGAAAAGAAAAAACAAAGGATTTACTATACAATCTTTCAGCATTTCAACCCTCAAGCATCTCAATATGAATCTATGGGCCCAGAATTTAATGTTTACAGACTCCCAAAAATTGTGCTTCTGATATGGGATGCAATAGTTGTGCAGGAGAAGTAGACTTTCATCATCAACAGGAAAGTCCATAAATCGGGCTTCTGACAGGGCAAGAGAAGCTGGGCATTAATGGAAGATTATAACATGTCTCATCAGTTCAACCTCCAGGTATCTCATTACAAACCTATGGGTCCAAACTAACATACACAAATCAGGCACACAAATCCCACAAATTGGGCTTCTGACAGGGAAAGTGTTGCCATGCAGTAATGGAAAAGAAAAACAAAGGATTTACTACACAATCTTTTAGCACCTCAACCCTCAGGCATCTCAATATGAATCGATGGGCCCAGAATGTTACTTTTCATTGCTTTTGAGACGACTAGTATTAAAAACATGCCGCACGCTAGGAAGTGCCTATAGGAAACAACGCATCTTCGAAAATTTGGATTCCAACAGGGAAGGTGTTGCCATGCAGTAATGGAAAGAAAAACAAAGGATTTACTACACAATCTTTTAGCATTTCAACCTCCAGGTATCTCATTATGAACCTATGGGCCTAGAACGTTTACACAAATCAGGCACACAAATCCCACAAATTGGGCTTCTGACAGGGAAAGTGTTGCCATGCAGCAATGGAAAGAAAAACAAAGGATTTACTACACAATCTTTTAGCATTTCAACCTCCAGGTATCTCATTCTGAACCTATGGGCCCAGAATGTTACTTTTCATTGCTTTTGAGACGACTAGTATTAAACATGCCACACACTGGGAAGTGCCTATAGGAAAAGACACATCTTCGAAATTGGGCTTCTGACAATCTTTCAGCATTTCAACCTCCAGGTATCTCATTATGAATCTATGGGCCCAAAATTTAATGTTTACACAGACTCCCACAAATTGGGCTTCTGACAGGGAAAGTGTTGCCATGCAGTAATGGAAAAGAAAAACAAAGGATTTATTACACAAACTTTTAGTATTTCAACCCACAGGCATCTCAATATGAATCTATGGGCCCAGAATTTAATGTTTACAGACTCCCACAAATTGTGCTTCTGACATGGGATGCAATAGTCGTGCAGGAGGAGTAGACTTTCATCAACAGGAAAGTCCGTAAATCGGGTTCCTGACAGGGAAAGTGTTGCCATGCCGTAATGGAAAAGAAAAAAAAAAAAAAAAAAAAGGATTTACTACACAATCTTTCAGCATTTCAACCTCCAGGTATCTCATTATGAATCTATGGGCCCAGAAGGTGGTTATTTCTGACATGGGATGCAATAGTCGTGCAGAAGGAGTAGACTTTCATCATCAACAGCAAAGTCCATAAATTGGGCTTCTGACAGGGCAGGAGATGCTGGGCGTTAATGGAAGATTACAACATGTCTTTCAGCATTTCATCCTCCAGGTATCTCATTATGAACCTATGGGCCTAGACTAACTTTTACACAAATCAGGCACACAAATCCCACAAATTGGGCTTCTGACAGGGAAAGTGTTGCCATGCAGTAATGGAAAAGAAAAACAAAGGATTTACTACACAATCTTTTATCATTTTAACCTCCAGGTATCTCATTATGAATCTATGGGCCCAGAAGGTGGTTATTTCTGACATGGGATGCAATAGTCGTGCAGAAGGAGTAGACTTTCATCATCAACAGCAAAGTCCATAAATTGGGCTTCTGACAGGGCAGGAGATGCTGGGCGTTAATGGAAGATTACAACATGTCTTTCAGCATTTCATCCTCCAGGTATCTCATTATGAACCTATGGGCCTAGACTAACTTTTACACAAATCAGGCACACAAATCCCACAAATTGGGCTTCTGACAGGGAAAGTGTTGCCATGCCGTAATGGAAAAGAAAAACAAAGGATTTACTACACAATCTTTTATCATTTTAACCTCCAGGTATCTCATTATGAATCTATGGGCCCAGAAGGTGGTTATTTCTGACATGGGATGCAATAGTCGTGCAGAAGGAGTAGACTTTCACCATCAACAGCAAAGTCCATAAATTGGGCTTCTGACAGGGAAAGTGTTGCCATGCAGTAATGGAAAAGAAAAAAAAAAAAAAAAGATTTTTTTTTTTTTTTTTGGTAGCAAAAAGTTGAATTACCCTTGAAGTACCAATAAAGCTCATGAGGCAACATGGAGACCACGTTCACCTCGGATGAAATACGCAGAGCGCCTCGTTCATATCTATACCACAATGAGAGAAGTGTAAACGGAACATGAAAAGGCAGGTTTAAAGCACTTTTTATCCTTTATAGTTTCAACCGTTTTTTTTTTTTGTTTTTTTTTTTTTAAATGAAGCATGCTCGATGGAAGCTTGCATAAAAAAAGGAACCTGAACATAATAATATACAAAAAAAAAAACAATGGTAAACAGTCTGTACATATTATCCTACAGATACATTTACAGAATCATTACTTTGCTGCTTTTTTAGAATTCCTCCAACAGATGCTATGCAACCTTACTGTTCACCTTGAGATGTGCTACATCGTTCATCTTCCCTGGGGGAGAGGGGGGTGGTAAAAAAAAAAAAAAAAAAAAAAAAAAAAAAAAAACAACGGGGTTCCCTCTTTGGAAAAACAGATCATGCTGCCTTTGTGCGCAGATGATGCACGTTTCACGAGCTCTTTAAATCAAAAGAATAATGAAATGAGAAGTCCGTCAAATACGTAATTCCATGACGACGTAGAAAAAGAAACCTGACGCGGATCCTTCAATATTACACCAAGAAGCACAGAACGCCCCCCGTGCAAAAAGGAACAAAAGCATCATGGAGAAGACTGGACAATATAAAAACTTGCTTTTTTTTTTTTTTTTTTTTTTTACATTTTTTGCTGTTTTTTTTTCTTTTTTAATTTTTTTTTTTTTTCAGTATTAAAGATCGAATCATCGTGTTGTAGTATGCATAGGAGTTGTTCAGAGATCCAGCCGGCAAAACCTGGAAATCTTGCATGTTTGATAAATCTGAGAACAAATCCGGACAAGTTTTTACTTTTTTTTTTTTTTTGCAGAAATATTATTTAAATACATATTTAAAGGCTTCTTCCAAGAATAATAATATCTTTAGGAAATCCCTCCATTTTGGCAATTTCAAAGCAGCCGAGCTTGCTGTAAAAATCCAAAATTCTTTTGTCGTCTGGTCTGACTTCGCAAAAAGCACCGCGTGATCCTGAGGACGGAGGGTGAAAAAAACAAAACAAAAAAACAAACAAAAAAAAACCAAAACAAAACAAAAACGCAACAAAACAAAAACGCAACAAAACAAAAACGCAACAAAACAAAAACGCAACAAAACAAAAACGCAACAAAAACAAAAACGCAACAAAACAAAAACACAAACAAAACAAAAACACACACAAAAACACAACAAAACAAAAACACAACAAAACAAAAACACAACAAAACAAAAACACAACAAAACAAAAACACACACAAAACAAAAACACACACAAAACAAAAACACACACAAAAAAAAAAAACAAAACAAAAAAAAACAACAAAACAAAACAGAAAACAAAAACACACAAAAACAACAAAAAACAAAAAAACAAAACAAAAAAAAAACACACATTAGGCACAGGTAAATGCTTTTTGTCACACGTTACTGCCTGGAAATCGCTATGATGGTGGGATGACTGCAAGGGTAGAGACATTTATGCCGGCCATACATGGGGCGAAATTCGACCGATTTTCCATCCCAAGAATAAATCGGCCGATATTCGCTCTGTTAGTGGGGTCAATGGCACCGAGCGATTTTTATGGTTCCTCCCCTTTTTGGTGACCGGGAAAATTCGTGAAAAACAACCGATTTTCGACTCGATGATGGTCAAATCGTTTTTTCCGAAACAAAATATGCGTGACCTGGAAGGAACAGAAGTTTCGCCTGTTATATGGGGAGTACTTTATGACTTGGTCGGCCGATTTTCTAAATCATTGGTGTCATCGAATTACCGAGCGAACGACGTTTTCGATTTTCGGATGAAAAATCATTCGGAATTCGACCCGTGTATGGCCTGCATTAGGGATCGTTCAGATAGGCGATGACACCGGTCCTCAGCACAGGCTCCCGCCTACACCCACCCCAGGCTGTTTGCAGGGCAGCCTATGGAGGTGGATGCAGACGCGGTGGCTGTACAGACCCACACGCATGTCACGTGTGATACGTGGAGAGTCTCCGGCACCTCAGCACACGCTCCAAGTGGAATGACCGGAAATTATTAATAGTATGTTTACTCAACGCTGCCAGGTCCTGTATCCCATCCAATCAAACCCCATCAATAGGCCGATGGATTAACCCTTTCACTGCCAGAGCAGGTTTTTGCACACGTAAAAAAAATAATAATTTTAGGCCTGAAGATTGCATAAACCCTCCCCCCAATTATGTATTTTTCTGACAGCAGACACCCTAGAGCAGCAGTGGTCTCCGAACTGTGGCCCTTTGCTTGTCTTTATCCAGCCCTTGAGGCATTATACCTCCCACTGACACCAATGATGGGGCACTATTCCTCCCACTGACACCAATGATGGGGCACTATTCCTCTCACTGATACCAATGATGGGGCACTATTCCTCCCACTGACACCAATGATGGGGCACTATTCCTCCCACTGATACCAATGATGGGGCACTATTCCTCCCACTGATACCAATGATGGGGCACTATTCCTCCCACTGACACCAATGATGGGGCACTATTCCTCCCACTGACACCAATGATGGGGCACTATTCCTCCCACTGACACCAATGATGGGGCACTATTCCTCCACTGATACCAATGATGGGGCACTATTCCTCCCACTGATACCAATGATGGGGCACTATTCCTTCCACTGACACCAATGATGGGGCACTATTCCTCCCACTGACACCAATGATGGGGCACTATTCCTCCCACTGATACCAATGATGGGGCACTATTCCTCCCACTGACACCAATGATGGGGCACTATTCCTCCCACTGACACCAATGATGGGACACTATTCCTCCCACTGATACCAATGATGGGGCACTATTCCATCCACTGATACCAATGATGGGACACTATTCCTCCCACTGATACCAATGATGGGGCACTATTCCTCCCACTGACACCAATGATGGGGCACTATTCCTCCCACTGATACCAATGATGGGGCACTATTCCTCCCACTGACACCAATGATGGGGCACTATTCCTCCCACTGACACCAATGATGGGGCACTATTCCTCCCACCGATACCAATGATGGGGCACTATTCCTCCCACCGATACCAATGATGGGGCACTATTCCTCCCACCGATACCAATGATGGGGCACTATTCCTCCCACTGATACCAATGATGGGGCACTATTCCTCCCACTGACACCAATGATGGGGCACTATTCCTCCCACTGACACCAATGATGGGGCACTATTCCTCCCACTGACACCAATGATGGGGCACTATTCCTCCCACCGACACCAATGATGGGGCACTATTCCTCCCACCGACACCAATGATGGGGCACTATTCCTCCCACCGACACCAATGATGGGGCACTATTCCTCCCACCGACACCAATGATGGGGCACTATTCCTCCCACCGATACCAATGATGAGGCACTATTCCTCCCACCGATACCAATGATGGGGCACTATTCCTCCCACTGAGACCAATGATGGGGCACTATTCCTCCCACTGATACCAATGATGGGGCACTATTCCTTCCACTGATACCAATGATGGGGCACTATTCCTCCCACTGATACCAATGATGGGGCACTATTCCTCCCACTGATACCAAATGATGGGGCACTATTCCTCCCACTGACACCAATGATGGGGCACTATTCCTCCCACTGATACCAATGATGGGGCACTATTCCTCCCACTGATACCAATGATGGGGCACTATTCCTCCCACTGATACCAATGATGGGGCACTATTCCCCCCACTGACACCAATGATGGGGCACTATTCCTCCCACTGATACCAATGATGGGGCACTATTCCTCCCACTGATACCAATGATGGGGCACTATTCCTCCCACTGATACCAATGATGGGGCACTATTCCTCCCACTGACACCAATGATGGGGCACTATTCCTCCCACCGATACCAATGATGGGGCACTATTCCTCCCACCGATACCAATGATGGGGCACTATTCCTCCCACCGATACCAATGATGGGGCACTATTCCTCCCACTGATACCAATGATGGGGCACTATTCCTCCCACTGACACCAATGATGGGGCACTATTCCTCCCACTGACACCAATGATGGGGCACTATTCCTCCCACTGACACCAATGATGGGGCACTATTCCTCCCACCGACACCAATGATGGGGCACTATTCCTCCCACCGACACCAATGATGGGGCACTATTCCTCCCACCGACACCAATGATGGGGCACTATTCCTCCCACCGACACCAATGATGGGGCACTATTCCTCCCACCGATACCAATGATGAGGCACTATTCCTCCCACCGATACCAATGATGGGGCACTATTCCTCCCACTGAGACCAATGATGGGGCACTATTCCTCCCACTGATACCAATGATGGGGCACTATTCCTTCCACTGATACCAATGATGGGGCACTATTCCTCCCACTGATACCAATGATGGGGCACTATTCCTCCCACTGATACCAATGATGGGGCACTATTCCTCCCACTGACACCAATGATGGGGCACTATTCCTCCCACTGACACCAATGATGGGGCACTATTCCTCCCACTGACAGCAACTATGGAGTATAAAGTTCTTCCCCTGACGCCATCTGACTCTCATCATCAAATATGGCGGGGAAAATAACTATTTGATCCCCTGCAGATTTTGTAAGTTTGCCCACCTACAAAGAAATGAAGGGTCTATAATTTTATCATGGGTTTATTTTAAGTGATAGATACAGAATATGAACCAAAAATCCAGAAAAAACAAACAAAAAAAAAACATAAAAACACAATACAAAATGAGAGTTCAGTGAGTAAAATAAGTATTTGATCCCCTACCAGCCAACAATGATTCTGGCTCCCACAGACTGGCGATGTGCTCATGTGGTGCACGGATTACTCCTGTCAGTGTAAGAAGGTGCTCCTAACGACTACTTGTTATGTGTATAAAAGACACCTGTCCACAGAATCTCTTCCATTCAAACCTCACCACCACCATGGGCAAGACCAAAGCGCTGCCTAGGACGTCATGGACAAGACTGTAGACCTGCACAAGGTTGGAATGGGCTACAAGACCATCAGAAAAAAAGCTTGGTGAGAAGGAGACAACTCTTGGAGCGATTATTCAAAAATGGAAGAAATACAAAATAACAATCGATCGCCCTCAGTCTGGAGCTTCATGCAAGATTTCGCCTCATGGGGTGAGGATGATCATGAGAAACGTGAGAGATCAGCCCAGAACTACACGGGAGGAGCTTGTGAATGATCTCAAGGCAGTTGGGACCACAGTCACCAAACAAACCATTGGTAACACAATACTCACCATAGATTGAAATCCTGCAGGGCCCACAAGGTCCCCCTCCTCAGGTGGGCACATTTCCAGGCCCGTCTGAGGTTTGCCAATGAACATCTAAATGATTCAGAGAAGGATTGAGAGAAAGCACTGTGGTCAGATGAGACCAAAGTTGAGCTCTTTGGCATTAATTTGACTCGCCGTGTTTGCAGGAAGAAAAATACTGACTATGACCCTAAGAACACCGTCCCTACAGTCAAGCACGGAGATGGAAACATTCTGTTTTGGGGCCGTTTCTCTGCTAAAAGGTACAGGCCAACTTTGCCGCACTGGGGGGCCAATGTACGTAAAAATCTTGGATGAGAACCTTCTTTCCTCAGCCAGAACACTCAAGATGAGTCATAGATGGGTCTTCCAGCATGAAAACGACCCAACAAATACCACCAAGGCAACAAAGGAAGAAGGACATTCAGGTCCTGGAGTGGCCTAGCCAGTCTCCAGACCTTCATCCTATAGAAAATTTATGGAGGAACCTGAAACTGAGTTGCCAAACGTCAGCCAAGAAACCTTAAGGATTTAGAGAAGATCTGTAAAGAAGACCAAAATGCCTCCTGAGATGTCTGCTAACCTGGGAACCAACTACAAGGAACGTCTTTCCTCTGTGCTCGCCAACAAGGGTTCCTCCACCAAGCACTAAGTCATGTTTGCTTTGGGCTCAAATACTCATTTTACTCACTGAACTGCAACTCCATTTATTATTTTTTTTTTTTTTTTTTTCTGGATTTTTGGTTGATATTCTGCCTCTATCATGTAAAATCCACCTATGATAAAACAATTATAGGCTCTTCTTTTCTTTGCAAGTGGGCTAACGTACAAAATCTGCAGGGGATCAAACAATTATTTTCCCCATTGTATGCCCCCCCCCCCCCGATTTGGATTCTGCGATCTCAACACACTTTGTAAATCAGGGAAGAACAGGGCAGGGCTAAGAACAGGGCAGGGCTGACAACACTGCTTGGGATTTCAGTGCAGCAGAGACTGTTGTCAGCTGAGTGATGAAGGGCCTACAAACACTTATCTGGGGCGTTCTGTCCAAACTCACCATTGGCTTTCAGAGAGGACAGGAGGCACGCCATCATCCCTTTGGCCACACTGGGATCCGTCACCTTCTTGTGAATGTCCACTTTTATTAATGACGGAAAGTTAGCGAGGAATGTGTCCGGTAAGATTTCCTGCTCTTCGTGAAAACTCAGCATGATTTTCTGAAAGAATGGTTCGTTCACAATGGTTACCCATAGAGATGACAAATACAATCAAACAAAACTCACAAATTATTCTGCTAGCTCTTTTCCAGCGTAGAAGTTACAAATGCAACCGGATAAATGTTCTCAAAAAAAAAAATAATAAAAATAGAGGAAATGTTGGCTGACCTGAATATCAAACACTGGATATGAGGAATGGGAGCAACCAAGGCAGAAAAGGAGAAAGGGGGACAACAGGGAGAGATCAACCACTTTCCTGCTGCCCCATAACAGATATACTGCTACAGGGGTGTACAAAATCACACACACACACACACACATATATATATATATATATATATATATATATAAAAAAAAAAAATAAAATAATATATATATATATATATAAAATAAAAATACACACACACCCTGTTCAAAATTATTCTGCAAATTCTATTTAAGTGTCACAAAGATTAAATATTTTGTTTGTCAGTGTAACTCATGGATGGCATTGTGTGTCAGGGCTCTTTTGATCACTGAAAACAATCTGGGACATCTGTGATAATTAGATTGGCCAGTGAGCCCAATTAAAGGAAAAACTACTAAAGGAGGGTGTTCCACATTATTAAGCAGAGCACCATTTTCAAGCAATATGGGGAAGAAAAAGGATCTCTCTGCTGCCGAAAAGAGTGAAATAGTTCGATGCCTTGGACGAGGTATGAGAACATTCGATATTTCACGAAAATGTAAACGTGATCATCGCACTATGAAGAGATTTGTGGCTGATTCAGAGCACAGACGGGTTGGTGCAGATAAAGGCACATTGAGGAAGATTTCTGCCAGATCCATGCATCGGATCAAGAGAGCAGCTGCTAAAATCCCATTACATAGCAGCAAACAGATATTTGAAGCTGCTGGTGCCTCTGGAGTCCCACGGACATCAAGGTGTAGAGTCCTCCAGAGTCTTGCAACTGTGCATAAATCTCCTATTCGGCCACCACTAACCAATGCTCACAAGCAGAAACGGCTGCATTGGGCAGAAAAATACATGAAGACTAATTTTCAAACAGTCCTGTTCACTGATGAGTGCCGTGCAACCCTGGATGGTCCAGATGGACGGAGTAGTGGATGGTTGGTGGATGGCCACCCTGTTCCAACAAGGCTGCGACGTCAGCAAAGCGGTGGTGGAGTCTTGTTTTGGGCCAGAATCATGGGAACAGAGCTGGTCGGCCCCTTTAGGGTCCCCGAAGGTGTAAAGATGATCTCTGCAAAGTATGTGGAGTTTATGACTGACCACTCTCTTCCCTGGTACAGAAGGAAGAACTATGCTTTCCGTAATAAAATCATCTTCATGCATGACAATGCACCATCTCATGCTGCAAAGAATACCTCTGCATCAATGGCTGTTATGGGGATAAAAGGAGAGAAAGTCATGGTGTGGCCTCCATCCTCCCCTGACCTCAATCCTATGGAGAACCTTTGGAGCATCCTCAAGCAAAAGATCTATGAGGGTGGGAGGCGGTTTACATCCAAACAGCAGCTCTGGGAGGCTATTCTGACATCTTGCAAACAAATTAACAGAAACTGTCCAAAAACTCCCAAGTTCAATGGATGCCAGACTTGTGATCTGCTATCAGATGAGGGCTCCTATGTTACAATGTAACGTGACCGCTTCAAATGTTTACAAAGTTACAATGTTGTTAAAAGTTTGAATGAAATAGCTTTTGATTTCAGTAAATATGCTGCAAACACAACAAATGACAATTTTCAGTTCTTTACAACCTATAGAAAGTGTTTTGAAACTTTCTGTTTGGAAAATTCTGGAACAAAAATCCTGTTATATTAGGAGGTTTGTTCAATAAAATGTGAATTGTACTCTTACAGTTGTAACCTGAGAATTCTGCCGACTGATATTTACATCAATTATTGAGGGAAATGAGAAAAATATCATCTGCAGAATAATTTGGAACACGGTGTATATATATATATATATATATATATATACACATACACACACATATATATATATATAATATATATATAAAATATTACAAAAAATATTTTAAAAAAAAAAAATTATAAAAATAAAATATATATATATATACACACACACACACACACGTATTTTTTTAAATTGTTATATATTAAAATGTATATGTGTGTGTGTGTGTATATATATATATATATATGTATATATATATATATATATATATATATATGATTTTGCATTCGCGGGAAGGGGGTGCGCACAAGCGCAAAACACGCGCCGCTATTAGCGACCTCAGCTGTCAATCACGAGTCCCGGCTGATGATTACTTACCAGTACCCGGTGATCACTGAGTATTACCGATGGAGGGAGAGAACAGTATGTAAACAATAGTTCTCTTCCCTGTCAGCTCAAACACTGCTTTGCATGGCTCTGCATAGCAGAGCCATACAAAGCAGTGTGCTTACAGTTGAAAGCAGTAAAACAGCACACAGTCATGGAAAGGTTTCTTCACAGTGAGAGCTGTGAGAATGTGGAATAGACTCCCTCAAGAGTTGGTTGTGGCCGGCTCAGTGGATTGCTGTAGGAAAGTCCTGGATTCTTTCTTGGATACACAGAATATAACTGGATATAACATTTATAGGGAAAGGTGATCCAGGGGATATCCAATTGCCTCTCGGGGGATCAGGAAGGAACTTTTCCCCTGCAGGAGCAAACTGGATCATACTTTCTGTTTTTTTTTTGCTTTCCTCTGGACCAACTGTGGGTGTAGGATTATAACCTTTTTCTTTTTTTTTTTTTTTTAATGGCTGAACTGGATGGACTTTTGTCTTTTTTTCAGCCAGACTAACTATGTAACTAAGTTAACCCTTTGATCGCCCCAGATGTTAACCCCTTCCTGCCCAGTGCCATTAGTACAGTGTCAGTGCTTTTTATTAGCGCGACAGGTCTCCGAAGACTACGGGGCCATTCACAAAGTGCAGCATTTCTCGCGCATGCGCAGTGGGAACCCGGATGTGAAGCCACAAGCTGTCACAGCCGAGTGCCCACACTGAAGATGCCGGCACCGTGGGAGAGAAGATGGCCGGTGAAACCAGCCGTGGTGAGGACACGGCTGGACCAAGGGACAGGTAAGTGGCTGTATTTTAAAAGTGAGCAGATACAGTTTTTGTAGCTGCTGACTTTTTTTTTTTCAGCTGGAACTCCTCTTTCACACTACTTCAAAAATATAAAACTATACAGATGAAACAAAAAAAAAAAAAAAAAGAAAAACAAAATTTCAATAGCGATCTGGTACCTCTGCTGCAGACAACTCCTTATCCCCCTGAGGTTTGCTGTATTTTTCCTGCATGAAGGGGATCCAGGAATGTTTGCATTTGTTGAGATACGGAGTGACATCCACAGTGCCCACTGCATAGCCACAAATACCATCCTCATCCTCCAGCACAAAGCAATAGTCCAGGCTGTGAGACAGAAGCCCTCCGACAAGCCTACAGGAGGAAAAGAGAACACTTCAGCTGCTAATCTAGCTCCAGAAGCCATAACAATCAACATTTCATTGGTTTAAAGCCCCACTACAGGCTGCAGAAAAAAAAAAATGACCCTTTAAGTGTGGTCTCCCTGCAAGGGTTAACTGCTTGGTAAGTTTAGGGGTAGAGGAATAGGCAGTAATACCTCGTTCCTGGTTCTGGCAAGGCTTTCAGAGCACTGTGTGACCCGTCCCCCGAAGCTGCTTTGCTTTGGCCGCCAGTCACACTCTGACGTCATCATGCATGCAAGAATGATGAGGGCGCGCCCACAGCTCGTGTCAGGGAAAGTGCCAAGCAAGTTATAGGGTATGATCAAAAACGTTGAGTATCTGGCTGCTCGTCCCTAAATGAATACATATGCCAAAAGACCCCCCCCCAGTGGGACTTTATTGCAGCATTCACACATTACACCTATACCCAGGATAACATTTTGATAAAAGAATTATCAGCTTTATTACAAACACATATTTTGTATAAAATACATAAATTTTAAAAAGGAACATCGCTCCGACAATATTCTTACAAAATAAACTCTTTGCACAAGGTCAAAAACCACTCAAAGGAAGAGAAAATGAACCCGACGCGTTTCGATCATTCCACATTTTAGATCTTCGTCAGGGAGCATAAAAGACCAGGAAAGTTTAAAAATATATGTCAGAGTTATATATAGAATAGATGACATCCGGGAAGAGAGACATGGATCCAGGTCCCCGCAGAATGCACCATCCAAGAAAGCAAGAGTGGTCAGATGTAAATCACCAAAAACCAAAGACAACTAGGAAGCGCCAAATAACCCCCAAATGGGACGTGTCAAAATCGGGACAATGTGAGAAATAGATGGGATTACACTGGATGATAAATGTGGCAACTCGAAGCAATAGTGTGGAAGATTGGGATACTATTTCCTTCAATGGATGGAACTGTACTAGATCCCATACGGCACAGACTGAAAAAGGCATGTAGGACAAGTCTTCAAAGAGACACAGGAAGCTACTGTGGAAGACAGAGCCACCAGATCCCAGGTCATCAGAGCAATACAGAGACCACCTTTAGACCAAGAAACCTTGGTTTCTTGGTCTGAAGGCAGTCTCTGGATCACTCTTGATGACATGGGATCTAGTGGCTCTGTCTTCCACAGTAGCTTCCTGTGTTGCACCGATGACCTGGGATCTAGTGGATCTGTCTTCCACAGTAGCTTCCTGTGTCGCTCTGATGACCTGAGATCTTGGATGACCTGGGATCTGGTGGCTCCGTCTTCCATAGTAGCTTCCCATGTTGCTCCGATTACCTGGGATCTGGGATGACCTGGGATCTGGTGGCTCTGTCTTCCACAGTAGCTAGCTGTGTCTCCTTGAAGACTTGTCCTACATGCCTTTTCGGCCTCTGCCGTATGGGATCTAGTACATTTCCATCCATTGAAGAAAATAGGCTCTCTTCCACAGTAGCTTCCCTTGTCACTCTGATGACCTGGGATTTGGTGGCTCCGTCTTCTACAGTAGCTTCCTGTGTCGCTCTGATGACCTGGGATCTGGTGGCTCTGTCTTCCACAGTAGCTTCCTGTGTCGCTCTGATGACCTGGGATCTGGTGGCTCTGTCTTCCACAGTAGCTTCCTGTGTCACTCCGATGACCTGGGATCTGGTGGCTGTCTTCCACAGTAGCTTCCTGTGTCACTCCGATGACCTGGGATCTGGTGGCTCCGTCTTCCACAGTAGCCTCCCGTGTCACTCTGATGACCTGGGATCTGGGATGACCTGGCATCTGGTGGCTCTGCCTTCCACAGCAGCTTTCTGTGTCACTCTGATGACCTGGGATCTGGGATGACCTGGGATCTGGTAGCTTCCTGTGTCTCCTTGAAGACATGTCCTATATGGCTTTTCGGCCTCTGCTCTTTGGGATCTAGCACATTTCCATCCGTTGAAAGAAATAGTATCCCAATCTTCCACACTATTGCTTCGAGTTGCCACATTTATCATCCAGTGTAATCCCATCTATTTCTCACATTGGCCTGATTTTGACACGTCCCATTTGGGGGTTATTTGGCACTTCCTAGTTGTCTTTGGTTTTTGGTGATTAACATCTGACCACTCTTGCTTTCTTGGATGGTGCATTCCACGGGACCTGGATCCATGTCTCTGATCCCGAATATCATCTATTCTATGTATTGCTCTGACATATGTTTATGCCCCCTGAAGAAGATCTAAAATGTGGAAAGATTGAAACGCGTCGGGGTAATTTTCTCTTCTTTCTGAGTGGTCTTTGACCTTGTGCAAAGAGTTTTTTTTTGTAAGAATATTGTCGGAGCGATGTTCCTTTAAAATGTATGTATTTTATACAACAAATGTGTTTCTAATAAAGCTGATAATTCTTTTATCAAATTGTTATCCTTGATATATGTGTAATGTTTCAATGCTGCAATAAAGTCCCACTGGGGGGGTCTTTTGGCATATGTATGCATTTAGGGATGAGCAGCCAGATACTCAACTTTTTTGATCAAACCCTATAACTTGTTTGGCACTTTCCCTGACACGATCTGTGGCCGTGCCCTCATCATCCTTGCATGCATGATGACGTTAGAGTGTGACTGGCGGCCAAAGCGAAGCGGCTTCAGGGGAGGGGGTCGCACAGTGCTCTGAAAGGCTTGCCAAAGGTTACCCTGGATATATGTGTAATGTTCCAGTGCTGCAATAAAGTCCCACTGGGGGGTCTTTTGGCATAAGCAAGGTATAGGGTAATCTTCAGCCCCTATACTTTGTGAGCATTTAACCTTTTGCAGGACAGCGAGGCCGCATAACAAGGGTAATTTTTTTTTTTGTAAAGTCCATACATATTGAGCGGATGCCAAGTGAGCACTATAGATTGTGTTCTGCTATGTCAGTGCACCCTTGTATTCGGTTCACAATGCGAATGAAATTGGATTGCTTTGATAACAATTCATCCCCAAAGCTCAAGAATTCTGGTCAGTCAGCTTTCAAAACGGCTAAAATTTCATAGTAAGTTTGGAGCCGAATTCCTTTGTTGGAAATGGGGGTTGTGACCGGAGTCACTTTGGGTGGGAGACCTATGAACACAGCTCACTTTAGAGAGGTGGGGAGACCCCTGTCTTAGCTCCCCATATCCCTCTTATGTGTAAGTCACCCTGTGCCTGTTAGGGGTACAGGGTGATCTGTCCTAATATTGGGGTGGGGGGTTGATCGTTTGATGTTATGTGACTGCATCCCATTTTTCTATTGTTTGGGAGCAAACTATTATGGGATGTATGTTTTTATGTGTATTAGCTTAGTGGTGGGGGGGGGGGGGGGGGGGGTCTCCATCCAGCTGCTCTCCCTCCTGATGGGGCTGTCTGCTGGTGTGAAGCTTGAATACCTGTGTGTCTCTTGTTACTAAATGTAGATTGCCCCACCCTGTGTCATTATGCAGGGAGGGGGGATTGTTCCCTTGAGTGTATATATCTTGTGTCTGTGTTCAAATACACTAGTCTACTTCCTGGTTTACTTCAAGACTGGTGTCGTCTAGTCTTGTATGGTCGGCTGTGGTGTCTGTTGTTGGTGTTCAGACGGGGAAGTGGTAGTCTAACGGGAGTACTCAAGGGCAGTCTGGGTCAGTTCCATTACAGGGGTCCTGTATGCAGTGTGGATTCTTTAGGTACTTACTTATCTCCTATCAGGTCAGGCTGACTTTCAAACGGTAAGTCATCCATGGCGTCGTCATACATCTCTCTGCAGATCTTGTACACCGAGGCCTACAAAACAACAAATGTTTATATCTTTGACCAACATCAGTGTTCACAATTACTGCTCATCATCCTGACGGCTCGCTGGATGCTCTTGTTTGAGAGCAAAGGATTTAAAAAAAAATGAAAAGCTTGTAGTGTCCCTGTATTGACATCCTGGACTGTTAGGGGTTGCGGCACTATGAGCAGCTCCAATACTACAGATGTGATTAAAGTGGTTGTAAACCTCAGACATAAGATATGAACAAAGCATATCCCTCTGTAGCGTGTACTTGTCGCAGTCCAGAGCACTAGGTGTAATTTCTGTCTGCTGCCTCCTTCCTCTGCTATCAGCATGGATCACTTCTAACAAATTTTTTCCTGACACCAAAAGAAAACCTGTGACAGGGGAGGGCACAGCCTGTGATTGACAGACTCAGCTTTGTTACTGTGAGCTGTGGTGGAGGGGAGGGGAGGGAGGGGGGGGGTGTGATTCCCTTCTCTCCAATCAGCACACTCCTCACTAAGCTCTGTAGAGTGATTTCAGCTCTCTGCCGTTTTTTCTGAACTCTCAGACAAGCTTTTTAAATTCAGCACTTTGGACAGATGTAGAGAAGAGGAGAGTGAAGATAAACAGGTACAACTTATGTAGGAGGATTTGTTTCATCTCTGTGTAGTGGCCAGTCACTTCACTGGTTAATATGGAAGGGTTTACAATCACTTTAACCTTAGGCCTCATTATACAACCACAGACCTTGGGCTCTGCATTAAAACCAAGATTTCTTCAAACCCTCTAGGGAAGGGGTCTCCCAACTTTTTAGTACGAGGGCCACATCGTAGATTTTACAAATATTCATGGGCCCAGAAAAAAAAAAACCAGTTATTTATAAATGAATGAATAAAATTTAAATAAACGAATACATTTTACACGGATCTTTTTGGTAATCAGCATGACATGATTGGGAACAAAGGAGAAACAACTTTAGTAAGACAAATAAAGAGACATTGGAAAGAAAAACTTGAGCCTTTAATAGACATCGAAGAAGAATGAACCCAGTCTACTCAGAATTGCCAGATCCGTGTGCAAAGGTGCAAACCGCAAAAAATAACTCGGTGCTACATGTACTTTGCTAAATTGAATGCAAGCAATGGAGTTGATTTTTTTAATTAAAATTTTTTTTTACTGAACTGAGCCTCCCTGCACACCTACGCCTCCCCGCATCAGAGCCTCCCCACACACCTACGCCTCCCCGCATCAGAGCCTCCCCACACACCTACGCCTCCCCGCATCAGAGCCTCCCCACACACCTACGCCTCCCCGCATCAGAGCCTCCCCACACACCTACGCCTCCCCGCCATCAGAGCCTCCCCACACACCTACGCCTCCCCGCATCAGAGCCTCCCCACACACCTACGCCTCCCCGCATCAGAGCCTCCCCACACACCTACGCCTCCCCGCATCAGAGCCTCCCCACACACCTACGCCTCCCCCCCCCATCAGAGCCTCCCCCACACACCTACGCCCCCCCGCCATCAGAGCCTCCCCACACACCTACGCCTCCCCGCCATCAGAGCCTCCCCACACACCTACGCCTACGCCTCCCCGCCATCAGAGCCTCCCCACACACCTACGCCTCCCCGCCATCAGAACCTTTCCCCAACACACCTACGCCTCCCCGCCATCAGAGCCTCCCCATACACCTACACCTCCCCCCATCCCCATCAGAGCCTCCCCGCACACCTGCGTCCCCCCCCCCCTTCAAGCCTCCCCGCAAACCTGCGCCTCCCCCCATCATCAGAGCCTCCCCGCAAACCTGCGCCTCCCCCCATCCCATCAGAGCCTCCCCACACAAGAGCCTACGCCTCCCCGCCATCAGAGCCTCCCCCACACACTACCTACGCCTCCCCGCATCAGAGCCTCCCCACACACCTACGCCTACGCCTCCCCGCATCAGAGCCTCCCCACACACCTACAGAGCCTCCCCACACACCCGCCTCCCCGCCATCAGAGCCTCCCCCCCACACACCTACGCCTCCCCCCCGCATCGCCATCAGAGCCTCCCCACACACCTACGCCTCCCCGCCATCAGAGCCTCCCCACACCTACGCCTCCCCCCATCCCATCAGAGCCTCCCCCACACACCTACCCTTCGCCTCCCCCCGCCATCATCAGAGCCTCCCCCACACACTCCCCCCATCCCATAGAGCCTCCCCACACGCCTCCCCGCCATCAGAGCCTCCCCACACACTACGCCTACGCCCCCCCCCCTACGCCTCCCCCCATCAGAGCCGCCTCCCCCCCAGAGCCTCCCCACACACCTACGCCTCCCCCCACCATCAGAGCCGCCCCGCACACCTGCGTCCCCCCCCCCCCCCCACCCTTCAAGCCTCCCCGCAAACCTGCGCCTCCCCCCATCATCAGAGCCTGCCCACAAACCTGCGCCTCCCCCCATCGGAGCCTCCCCGCTGCGCCTCCCCCCCATCAGAACCTCCCCCACACACCTGCATTCCCCTCCCCATCAGAGCCGCCCCGCACATACAGTGGGGATGGACAGTTTGGGCACCCCAGCTAAAAATGTGTATTAATGTGCATAAAGAAGCCAAGGAAAGATGGAAAAATCTCCAAAAGGCATCAAATTACAGATTAGACATTCTTATAATATGTCAACAAAAGTTAGATTTTATTTCCATCATTTACACTTTCAAAATAACAGAAAACAAAAAAATGGCGTCTGCAAAAGTTTGGGCCCCCTGCAGAGTTAATATCTTGTACTGCCCCCTTTGGCAAGTATCACAGCTTGTAAACGCTTTTTGTAGCCAGTCAAGAGTCTTTCAATTCTTGTTTGAGGTATCTTTGCCCATTCTTCCTTACAAAAGTCTTCCAGTACTTTGAGATTTCTGGGCTGTCTGTCACGCACGGCTCTTTTAAGGTCTATCCATAGATTTTCAATGATGTTGAGGTCAGGAGATTGTGAAGGCCATGGCAAAACCTTCAGTTTACGCCTCTTGATGTAATCCCCCGTGGATTTCGAGGTGTGTTTAGGATCATTATCCATTTGTAGAAGCCATCCTCTCTTTAACTTCAGCTTTTTTCACAGATGGCATCAAGTTACCATCCAAAATTTGCTGAAATTTTATTGAATCCATTTTTCCTTCTACTTGTGAGATGTTCCCTGTGCCACTGGCTGCAACACAACCCCAAAGCATGATTGATCCAACCCCATGCTTAACAGTTGGACAGAGGTTCTTTTCATTCAATTCTGTGCCCCTTCTTCTCCAAACGTACCTTTGCTCATTCCGGCCAAAAAGTTCAATTTTAACCTCATCGGTCCACAGAACTTGTTTCCAAAATGCATCAGGCTTGTCTATATGTTAATTTGCAAAGTTCAAACGATGATTTTTGTGGTGAGGACGTAGAAGAGGTTTTCTTCTGATGACTCTTCCATGAAGACCATATTTGTACAAGTATCTCTTTATAGTGGAATAGTGACCACAACTCCAGTGTCTGCCAGATCTTTCTGGAGGGATCGTGCAGTCAAACGTGGGTTTTGAATTGTTTTTCTCGCAATCCTGCGAGCTGTTCTGTCTGATATTTTTCTTGGTCTTCCAGATCTTGCTTTAACTTCCACTGTTCCTGATGACTGCCATTTCTTAATTACATTCCGAGCAGAGGATATTGACATCTGAAAACGCTTTGCTATCTTCTTATAGCCTTCTCCAGCTTTGTGAGCGTCAACTATTTTCAGTTTCAGTTTTCTAGACAACTGCTTAGAACAGCGGTTCTCAACCTGGGGGTCGCGACCCCTTTGGGGGTCGAACGACCATTTCACAGGGGTCGCCTAAGACCATCGGAAAACACATATTTCCGATGGTCTTAGGAACCGAGACACCGCTCCTGTTCAGGCGATCTGTGGGCGGGATGATATGCTGCCCCTGTAACCTGGCCACACCTCCGGGATCACTCAACAGCTCCGCCTCCTCGCCGCTGATTGGCCACCGGAACTGTAGCTCAGGAGAGGCACACAGGCGGCCAATCACCGGCGAGGAGGTGGAGCTTGGAGAGGAGGAGCCGAGCGGCAGCGCGCGGAGATCGAAGAAAGATCGAGGGAGCTGCAGGAGCGAGTGAAGGAGAGAGGCCAGAGAAGGAAGACAGCTGACAGGTAAGTGCAAATTTTGCTGCTGCAGCCAGGTATGCAGGCTGTAGATGGGAGAGGGAGAGAGCGAGCCCAGGCTGGAGCAGGAGTCAGCAAGGTAAGTATCATTGGTGTCAGTGGAAGGGATAGTGCCCCATCATTTGTGTCACTAATACCAACGATGGGGCACTATTCCTCCCCCCACTGACACCAACGATGGGGCACTATTTCCCCCCACTGACACCAACGATGGGGCACTATTCCTCCCACTGACACCAACGATGGGGCACTATTCCTCCCACTGACACCAATGATGGGGCACTATTCCTCCCACTGACACCAATGATGGGCACTATTCCTCCCACTGACACCAATGATGAGGCACTATTCCTCCCAATGACACCCACAATGGGGCACTATTCCTCCCACTGACACCAATGATGGGGCACTATTTCTCCCACTGACACCAATGATGGGGCACTATTCCTTCCCATGACACCAATGATGGGGCACTATTCCTCCCACTGACACCCATGATGGGGCACTATTCCTCCCACTGACACCCACGATGGGGCACTATTCCTCCCATGACACCCACGATGGGGCACTATTCCTCCCACTGACACCCACGATGGGGCACTATTCCTCCCACTGACACCCACGATGGGGCACTATTCCTCCCACTGACACCCACGATGGGGCACTATTCCTCCCACTGACACCCACGATGGGGCACTATTCCTCCCACTGACACCCACGATGGGGCACTATTCCTCCCACTGACACCCACGATGGGGCACTATTCCTCCCACTGACACCCACGATGGGGCACTATTCCTCCCACTGACACCCACGATGGGGCACTATTCC